CTAAATGTTGTTACAATCCACGCCATAAGAAAAACTCCTTCATTGTCAAAGAACTTAAAAACATTGCTCCTTAGTCTGGCTGTTTCTGATCTTGGCGTTGGAATAGTAGCTCAACCGTTGTACGTTGCAAATCTTATCATCGACTCGAAGGACAACAACGAAATTAGTACGGAGCCTCAAAATGCTATCTACACAGCTTGTCTTATCTCAACGCATTTATTGAGCTATTTTGAAAAAATAGCTCATATGTCAGTGGTGTGAGCGTATGTATCTTTGTGGCTTTGTATCTTTGTATGTTGGGATGTTTGTTGCAGGAGCCAATAAGGTTGAAGGTACTATGAGTTGATGCTTAGGAACCAATGAGATCTTGGCATCTATTTAAACATGGCATTGGTAAAGGTCGAACAGGCCACTTTGAGACCGCCATCTTGATCCTTCACAATTTTTTCGTCTTTTATTACGGGTGGACAAGAATTTGTTTGCTTCAAGCGCCGAAACTATCCAAAAAAAGTCAACAAATGGATTACTTGTATCTCACGTTTTGCGTATTCAACGCGTACTTGTCCTACACCGCCACCATGCTGAACATTGTAGCAATCTACGCGATCAGAAAGACTTCGCCTTTGTCCAAAAATTTAAAAACATTGCTCTTGAGCCAAGCAGTTTCTGATCTTGGTGTTGGTTTACTAGCTCAGCCAATGGTTGTTGCACAAGCTATGGACTCAAAACAAAACAGTGAAACCAAACATATCGCTCGTCTTATCCTAATGAATCTCTCGATGTTTGCGACGAATCTCTTCATCTTTGCTACATTGTTTAGCGTCACGGCTCTCTGTGCAGACAGATTTTTGGCAATTCACCTTCACCTCAGATACCAGGAACTTGTGACTTACAAGCGCCTTGCTACTGTAGTGGTCTCAATTTGGGTGATAAGTGCACTTATTTCACTGATCAGATTTTGCCTCCCCAAAAATATTATGTGCGTGAGTTTCGCCATTATTGAATCTGCCTGTATTTTAACTGCGACTTTCCTGAGCGCCAGACTTTACCTAACTATACGACGCCACATAAACCAAATTCAAGTCCCGCAAGTAGCGCAGAATGACCAGGGAGAAAGTGTTCAAAGATAAAGGAAGTCTGCGATGGCATCGCTTTACGCATATCTGGTTTTCACAGCTTGCTACTTGCCTGATATTTGTGTGTTAATTATTGTCGCTTCCATTTCCGAACCAAGGATCGATCTAGTGCATTTGCACCTTCATACTCTGACCCTGTTGTTTCTGAATTCAACCCTAAATCCATTAATCTACTGCTGGAAGATGAAACGCATCAAGCACACTATTGTAGGCACACTTCGAAATCTTTTTTCAAGTCCCACTTAGAGAAAGCTCCACCATAGACTAAGACGAACAGAGGACTAAGAAAGCCTTATACGGTCATCCTTATACGGTCTGTAACTAAATGAAGCTATGCCACTTGAATGCTTTGCGAATTACCCTACATGTTATTTCCATGACACAATCCACACTGTCTTCATTCAGTTTTTAAACGTCCTTATGCAAAGTTTTAGTTAAAAAAATTCATTACTTTTGTAAAATGAACCTTTAAAAGCGCGATTGACACACATCACATTGTCTTAGTGATGCAAGAGTGAGCCAGCTTACTACGAGCTAAATGCCTTTAGTTTCTTCTTCATATAACCTTTTCACTGTGACGTTTAATTCGTCATGCAGCAAAGGTTTTGCTGAAATAGACCTTTACTAAGATGATATAGTTATGTCATTACTATACAATTTAAGTGTACGAGATTATTCTTAATGATAGGAGGGGAAGAAAGTATGATAAAAAAAAACCTTTTTTCTAAAACTGTTCACGTTTAGAACCCTTAAGATTTTATGGTTTAACTGTTTTCGTTTCAAAAAACATGTGTATTCTCAAATCCGTCTTGGTCTCTTGTATTGTTTTGCAGTGCTCTTTATTGTTATTTTAGTAAGCAACATTTCACCAAGGATAATGATGAAAAGAAAAGTCGCGGCCGCAGAAACGAAACCACCCTTTACCTCTGTCGAAAGACATGCTGAAAATTTCCCCAGAAACGAGAATATCAAACTTCAACTAGCCTGCGAGGAAGCTCTCTATTTTGGGCGAGACGCGAGAATTCACCCGAGAGCAGCACGCGTAAGGAGACGCGGGTGCGAGGGGCGGGGTCACAGGCGCGTTCTCTCGCGCGAAGCTTTGCTTTCTCGCAAGCTAAACCTCAACAGCTGTCTTGCGCGCTATTTATTTTCATGACAATTTCTATCGATCGTGGAACCTTCACGCTTTTTGCGGTTTGCAGCCTTTATTGATTATTGTAACTATATTTTCACTTCCATTCTGACCTAGAAAGGTCTGAAATCATAGCTTCCAACAAGATAGCCTGAATCAGAGAGGGAGTTCGTGAATATAACACGCTCTCAACTAAACATGAATTGTTGGTGCCAGTTTCATAGTAGAATTGGGTAGCAAATGAATTTCACCTCAACAACAACAACAAGAAAAGAAATAGTTTTTAAGCCCGCTTGCGTTTAATGGTTGGGTGCAAAACGAACGAAAAACTGTCCACTAATAGCTTTTGTCGTTGAGCTTACAAATTGCAAATGCAACGCAAGTCCATGAAAGATTTGGGGAACCACATGAAATGTAAATTAAACAGCTGAAATTTTCCAAGTTGGTTATTTAAAGCCTACTCTTATCCTCTTTCTGCAAAATAAATATTATTTTTTAGACACTACATTTTGTGAAAAATACCAAAAATTTCACCAACTTTAAGAGAAGAAAACACTTTGTAACTCCTTCAATAGGGACTGTAAACTCTAAATGAGAAGCCCTCATGTTAACGCCATAAACTACAAGTCTTTCATTTTACATCATTTCCTTTTTACTGTCAATTAAATGGGCTAGAATACTAACGAGAAAAAGTTTTTTCTTAAATATTTCATTCGACCGCTTTTAGTCCCAACTAATAAGCAACATGCCACTAGTTTTACAGTAAATTTTAATGAACATAGAGCATATGGAGCATACACAAGAGTGGAGGACAGTTTTGTCCTTTTTCGCATTTCATTCACTCCGACGCAATATGGCCATATAGTGGCCCTATTAAATAATGAAAAAAAACCTTCAAATATGACTTAACTGTCAAAGGTGGGAAAGTTTCCTGTGTTTTAGTTGAAGTTAATTTAAACAAAACTTCCTGTTTTTAAATTGGTATAACGCTAATAATAAAAAGACGATTTTGAAAATAACCAAGAGATCTATTCTGACACTTAGACCAGCAATACTTAATGATTAGTTGCTGCGTCATTGTGTTAAGATGAAATGTTTCATCATACTATGGTTTCATAGTGGCCCAGTTAAAGATGAATTTAGTCAAAGTACCGTTATCAAATGCTACCCTATTGAAAGTCGTGGGGTTCTAAAATAAGTCAATCCGCTACGAAGCTCTGTTAGAAGAAGTCCACGAAACTGATTCTACTGAATTCATAAAAGATCAAACTCTTGCATCATCTGATAGGAATTTAACTGGCTTCCAAACAAATTCAAAAAAGACAACAAATGGATTCCTCGTATCTCGTAGTTTGCCTTTTAAATGCATTTTTATCCTACACCGCCACCATGCTAAACATTGTTAAAAATCCACTCGATAAAAAAAAATTCCGATCTTGTCAAAGAATTTAAAAACATTGCTCCTGAGCATGGCTGTTTCTGATCTTGGTGTTAGGTTACTAACTCACCCAATGGGAACTTTAGACTCAAGAATACAAACAAAAGGGAGAAAATAGGTCAGTTTCGAATTATCAAAACTCATACTTGGCTCGGAGGCTGCAGGGAATAAAATAAAATGAAATTGGGTAGCAGATGAATTTCATCTCAACAACAATAATAACAACAAAGAAATAGTTTTTAATCACGCTTGCGTTTAATGGTGGTGTGCAAAACCAATGATAAACCGTCCACTAATAGTTTATGTCGTCGATATTACAAATTGCAAATACAACACAAGTTAATGAAAGAGTTAGGGAACCATATGATATGTAAATTAAACAGCTGAAATTTTCCGAGTTGGTTATTTAAAACCTACTCTTTGCTAAGTATTAGTTTTTAGACGTGTGAAAAATATCAAACATTTCACCACCATTAAAGAGACCAAACACTTTGTAACTCCTTCAGTAGGGACTGTAAACTCTCTAATGAGAAGCCCTTGCGTTAACGCCAAAAACTAGAAGTCTTTAATTTGAAATATAAGCGGTTATTAAGCCTTAACAAGTCCATCAAAATTAAATGGGCTAACAGTCTAACGAGGAAGACTTTTTTTTTCAATATTTCAATCGACCGCTTTTTGTCCCAACTAATAAGCAACATGTCATTTTCCAGTAAATTTTAATAACTTTCTTTTAATACAGCATATTGAGCATACACAAGGGTGAAGGACAGTTTTCTCCTTTTTCGCACTTCGCTCGTTTCGATGCAATATAGCCATATAGTGGCCCCAAAAAAGAAAATAAAACTTCAAATATGACTTAACTGTCAAAGGCGGGAAAAATGGTGGGGCAAGTTTCCTGTGATTTTAGTTGAAGTTACTTTAACCAGAACTTCCTGTTTTTGAATTGGTATGAAGCTAACAAAAACCCATAACGATTTTACAATTTTGCTTGAAAATGACCAAGAGATCTGACACTTAGACGAGCAATACTTAATGATCAGTTGCTGTGTCATTCTGTTAAGATGAAATGTTTCATAGTAGCCCAGTTAAAAAGGAATTTGGTCAAAGTACTTATCAAACGCTACCCTATTAAAAGTCGTGGGGTTCTAAAAATAATTCAATCCGCTATGAAGCTCTGGAAGAAGTCCACGAAACTGATTCTACTGAATTCATAAAAGATCAAACTCTCGCATCATCTGATAGGAATTTAACTGGCTTCAGCACAAATCCAAGAATGACAACAAATGAATTCCTCACATCTCGTAGTTTGCCTTTTAAATGCATTTTTATCCTACACCGCCACCATGTTAAACATTGTTACAATCCACGCCATAAGAAAAACTTCCTCATTGTCAAAGAACTTAAAAACATTGCTCCTGAGTCTTGCTGTTTCTGACCTTGGTGTTGGTTTACTAGCTCAGCCAATGACGGTGGTACATCTTATCTCTACGAACTTGAACGAAAATAATGAAACTAGTGAGACCTATAATGCCACCTATACCGCGTACCTTATCCCAGCGAATTTATTTATTTTCACTACGCTGTTTCTCGTCATTGTTCTTTGTGCAGAGAGATTTATAGCCATTCATTATTACCTTGGATATCGAGAACTTGTGACACACAAGCGGGTGGCTGCTGTTGTCGTCTCAATTTGGGTATTAAGCGGACTGTTTTCGTTGATGAGGTTGTGGATCCCAAAGAGTATTATGTACTTGGTTTTTGGCATTACAGAACTTGCATGTATTATAGCTGCCACTTTCTTCAGTATCAGAATTTACTCGTCCGTGCGACTTCACGTAAACCAAATTCAACTGCTGCAGCTAAAACAAGCATCACAGACCGGTAAAATGGCTAACATTACAATGCTGAGGAAGTTTGCGATGATGTCAGTTTACGTTTCCCTTGTTTTGATGGTTTGCTATCTGCCAGACATTTGTACACTCTTTGTTATTGCCTTCACTTCTAGACCAAGCACTAGCATAAAGCATTTACAGTTTTACGCTGTGACACTGGTCTTCCTTAATTCGTCGCTTAATCCTGTGATCTACTGCTGGAAGATGAAACACATCCGACACACGATCATTGGCTTAATACGAAATGTATTTACGAAGCAAAACTACAGACTGAGAGCTTCAAAACAATCCATCTGGAAATAATAAACGATATGAAAAAACGACAACAACAACAACAAGAAACAATAAAAAATGTAAAATCGTGTTATGTTAAACTTACAATAAAAAAGAAATAATACAATAAAAATAAAAATGAACAATAGAGATTGTTGTAGTTTTCGTTAGAATCAATGATTTAAGAAACAATTTGTCTCGGAGTAATAATTTAGGCATTGTAATGAAACACGAAAGTTGTCAAAACTCCGTTAAAAGTATGAAGCATTGTGCTTTACCCCCTCACCCACCCCTACAGAAGAAAGAAAAGGAAGTAAGCAAACGAAATTAAAGCAGAATCATACGCACGATCTTATCATAGCCCGCGAGAAGATGAAAACACCCGATGAAAACATCCTCGAGTTCAGAAATGCTTTTATTACAACTTCTTTCCTAGACTTAAAAACCACGAAGATAGAGATCAAATTAAATATAGTAACGATTGCACCATTTTGTTTCCCTCGATCACGACTATACGACTCAGTGACTAAGCGTCTTCACGAGCAAAACTTCATTCTTTTTTCGTGGCTCCTAAAAATGCGTGACGGGGAACTTTAGACTCAAAAACACAAACAAAAGAAAGAAAATGGGTCAGTTTCGAATTATTAAAATTCATACTTGGCTCCGGGGCTGAAGGGAATAAAACTGGTAAACGGAAAGGTACACGAAACTTTTGATTTCACCGAAATCGAATCAGTTATGATTTTACATTTCTACTTAAAGGCTTCCAAAAAGACGGTGGTCTCCATTCGAACAAGACAAAATCTGCTATCAGGCGATCTTTTTTCGGGGAAAGTCGGCGGACGCCTCCCAAACAAAAAGGGAAGAAGGACCGACTGATCGCGGGTTAAACCAGAATTTGCCAAGATTAAGGTGGAGCAGAAGACAGTCAATGTAGTTTTACAAGACCTTTAGGATGCGTTCGATAGATAAAAACAAAAACATGTAAAACTACTAAAAAAAACATTTTCTTTTGTTCAATTATAACTTAACTGTAAGAGGTGGGGAAAATTGTTGGACAAGTTTGCCTGTTATTAAGATGAAGTTTAATTTGTTAAACAAAACTTCCTCTTTCCTAATTGTTTTGAAGTTTAGGAAGACCTATACACAAATTGTAAAAATTGTTTGAAAAACAAGATGGACATCTGCAAGAAGACAGAAATTTGCATGCTCTTTCAACAATGTGCTCAGTCGGATGAGACAATTGAAGGCAGTTCCGCCGACAAAACGTGGTTGAAGTTTAATTTTGAAATAATTCCTCCTGTTTTCAAAATGCCTTGAAGTATAGAATAACCTATGTTTCAAAGAGCCTTGAGACAATCGTTTTGCCACTTGGATACCTTCAGAGTGCCCAGCGATCCACAACAGCTACAGTACTGTTAGGGAATCATTTGAAAAGTAAATAAAGCAGCTGAAATTTAACGAGTTAAATGTTTAACGTCTTTTCGCTGTTAGATTGCAATTCTGTAAAAAATATCAAAGATTTCACCACTCTCAAGAGTACAGAAAAAACGTTATTGTAAACTTCTAGAAAGGAAGCCACTACTTCAACGCAATAAATAGAAGTCATTAACTTCCAATACTAGGTCGTTTAATTGATAACGACTGGGTAACATTAAAGAAATACGAAAGTTAGAAACGTTCTCATTTATATCACTATTTGCGGATGCGATAAAGCGGTCCCTCCGCAAAAAGGTTGAACAAGTTTCCCGGTGATTAAATTGAAGTTCAACTCTGAACGAAAACCTCCTGTTTTCTAATTGCTTTGAAATAGAGAAAAACATAATAACAAACATACAAACAAGAATCGCCGAAAGGCGATTTTAGCTGGGCTGCCAAGGAGCGATCTTTTCTGAGGGGAGGGGGCGGCTGGAAACTAAAGCGAACACCTCAACCCAAAGAAACATATACGGCCACTTATTTAAACGGAGTTTAGCCAGTGTTTAACAAAACTGTGTTGCAAGTCATTTTCAATTTCCCCAACGCTTTTATCTCAACACTGTTTATGGCGTACACTAGAAAAGCATTTAACTCCTTAAAATAACCCTCTAAGGAAGATATCTCAGTCTGGAGGTCTAAAGATTTGCTAAACCGCGGCCTAAGTTAAACTTCGTTTTAATAACCGACCCATACTTTTTGAGCCCGCTTTGTTAAAAGACGCAGGGCAAAATAACACTGTCTGACAGCTTCTCTCTTCAACCTTACAAATTGCAAATGAAAGGATATTCATACGGATAATTTGGGGGATTATGGTTAAGGTGCAAGATTATTAAATACTAAGCATCCTAAAGAAATTATTGGATCATTTTACCTTTCTGGGAAACTGCCCACCTACCCCTCCCCTAAGCCGACATTTTGCCCTAAGTGAGAAGTAAAATGATCCAAATTATAGATATAACTGCTTTTACTTATGCAGCATGTCATCTTGCGGGTTATTAACTAAAAATAGAGCATATAACAATGAAGTAATCAAGAACCATTCGGCTGAAATTTTCCAAATCGAACAACAATAATTATTAAAAAAGGGATGTCAGATCCATTATTTGTTCATGTTTCATGAATGAGTCAGAGATCAACACCTTTACGTTTTGCACTAACATCTTTGGGCAGTTTTGTTACATTTTCATCTGAAACTATTTGGTTAAATAAACAGACTGAGCAGAAGGAAAGCCTTGCAGGAGTTTTCTGAACATTTTGCTTCACAGGATGCGATAAAGCGGCCCCACCGACAATACTGATTGGACAATTTCTTTTTCCCGGCGATTAAGTTTCAGTTTTAATGAAACACAAACTCCTGTTTTCTAATCGCTTACCCGTTTTGAAAAAAATAAGCCTGACAATTATCCAAAGCGTCTTAAAAACACATAGGACATCTGCTTTGCCACACCAGCAATGCCCTACCAACTGTAATCGTATGTTCGGAAAAGAGTTCCATCGTAGCTGAGTTAAAGACGCATTTTAGTCAGTCAAACTGCTTTTCACCAAAGTTTAACTTACTTATCGTTTTAACGTTACTCAATCCGTGACATGGGTTTGGTCAGATCATCCTGAAAAACACAAACGTTTGCAAGGTCCGACAAGAATTCGCTTGCCTCAAGCGCCGCAACTATTCAAAAAAAGTCAACAAATGGATTACTTGTATCTCACGTTTTGCGTATTCAACGCGTACTTGTCCTACACCGCCACCATGCTGAACATAATAGGAATCTACGCGATCAGAAAGACTTTTTCTTTACCAAAAAATTTTAAAACATTGCTTCTGAGTCTGGCTGTTTCTGATCTCGGTGTTGGTTTACTAGCTCAGCCAATGTATGTTGCATATGTTATGGACTCAAAACAACACAATGAAACCAATGAAACTTATAATGCCATATATATCGCGTTTCTTATTCCGACGAATTTCTTCCTTCAAGCGTCACTGTTTAGCGTCATGGCTCTCTGTGCAGACAGATTTTTGGCAATTTACCTCCACCTCAGATATCAGGAACTTGTGACAAACAAGCGCGTTGCTGCTGTAGTGTTCTCAATTTGGGTGATAAGCGCAACTATTTCACTGATCATGTTATTCATCCCAAAAGATATAATGTATGTGAGTTACATCATTATTAAAGCTGCCTGTATGATAACTGCAGCTTCCCTGAGCGTCAAACTTTATCTAACTCTAAGACGCCACATAAACCAAATTCAAGTCCGGCAAGTAGCGCAGAATGACCAAGGAGAAAGTGTTCAAACAAAAAGGAAGTCTGCGATGGCATCGCTTTACGTGTATCTGGTTTTCATAGTTTGCGATTTGCCTAATCTTTGTGTGTTAATTATTGTCGCTACCAATTCCGAAACAAAGATCGATGTAAACCATTTGCAGTTTTATACACTGACCCTAGTGTTTCTTAATTCAACCCTCAATCCACTAATCTACTGTTGAAAGATGAAACGCATCCAGCACACTATTGTAGGCATACTTCGAAATCATTTTTCAAGTCCCACCTAGAGAAAGCTCCACCATATACTATGACGAACAGAGGACTAAGAAAGCCTTATAAGGTCATCCTTATACAGGTCTTGTACGGTCTGTAACTAAATGAAGCTAGCCACTGAAATGCTTTGCGAATTACCCTACATGTTATTTCCAAGACACAATCCACGCTGTCATCAATCAGTTTTTAAACGTCCTTATGCAAAGTTTTAGTTTAATAAAAATTCATTACGTTTGTAGAATGAACCTTTAAAAGAGCGATTGACGCACTTCACAGTGTCTTATTGATGCAAAACGAGCTAAATGCCTTAAGTTTCTTCTTCATCATGTAACCTTTCCACTGTGTTAAAACCTAACAACGTTTAAATGGTCATGCAGCAAAGGTTTCATTGAAATAGACCTTTACTGAGATGATATAGTTATGTCATAATTGCATTTTAAATGTTGGTGAAGCTAAGCAAAATAAAACACTGATACTTAACATGTAACAGGTTTCACATGAACCCTTTTCTCATTGAAAAGCGTAAGTGGAATTCCTACCCCAATAAAACATTTAAAACATTTACAGTGTACGAGATTATTCTTAATAAAAGGTGGGGAAAAGTATGATTAAAAAACTTCCCTGAGACTGTTCTCGTTTAGTACCCTTAAGATTTTATGGTTTAACTGTTTTCGACTCAAAAAAAAAAACATATGTATTGTCCAATCCGTTTTGGTATTTTGTATTGTTCTGCAGTGTTTTTTATTGTTATTTTGATTTCAGTAAACAACATTTCACCAAGGATAATAATGAAAAGAAAAAGCCACGACCGTAGAAATGAAACCACCCTTTACCTCCATCTGAAGAGATGCTGAAAATTTCCCCAGAAACGAGAACATCAAACTTCAACTAGCCTGCGAGCAAGCTCTCTATTTTGGGCGAGTCGCGAGAAGTCACGCGAGAGCAGCACGCGTAAAGTGACGAAAGTGCGAGGGGCGGGGTGAGAGGCGCGTTCTCTCGCGACTCGCTTTGCTCGAAATAAATGGAGAGCTTTCTAGCAGGCTAAACTTGAACAGCTGTTTTGCGTGCTATTCATTTTCATGACATTTTTGTTCGATTGTGGAACCTTAACACTTTTCTTCCTATACTATGTTTTCACTTCCATTCTGACTTAGACAGTTCTGAAATAGCTTCCAACAGGAACGTGAAGCAGAGAGGGAATTCGTGAAAATAACGCGTTCTCGCCTAAATATGAATTGTTGGTGCCAGTTTCATAGTAGAATTGGTTAGCAAGTGAATTTCACCTCAACAACAATAACAACAAGAGAAACAGTTTTTAAGCCCGCTTGCGTTTAATGGTAGGGTGGAAAACAAAAGAAAAACTGTCCACTAATGGGTTATGTCGATATTACAAAATGGCAAATACAACACAAGTTAATGAAAGAGTTAGGGAACCATATGATATGTAAATTAAACAGCTGAAATTTTCCGAGCTGGTTATTTAAAACCTACTCTTAACTAAGTATTATTTTTTGACATGTATGAAAAATTCGCAACCTTCAAAAAGAAACGAAAACACGTTGTAACTCCTTTAATAGGGACTGTGAAGCCCTTACGTTAATTGCAAAAACTAGAAGTCTTTAATTTTGAAATATTACGGCATTAAGCCTTAACATATTCATCAAAATTAAGTGGGCTAAAAGACTAGAGAGGAAGAGTTCTTTGTTATATTTCAATCGACCGCTTTTAGTCCCAACCAATAAACAACAAGTCATTTTGCTGTAAATTTTAATGAATATCACTTCCTTTTAAAACACAGCATATGGAGCATACACAAGGGTGAAGGACAGTTTTCTCCTTTTTCGCATTTTGCTCGTTCGGATGCAATATAGCCATATAGTGGCCCCAATAAAGACAAAAAAAAACTTTAAATATGACTTAACTTTCAAAGGCGGGGAAAATGGTGGGGCAAGTTTCCTGTGTTTTAGTCGAAGTTAATTTAAACAAAACTTCCTGTTTTTAAATTGGTATAAAGCTAATAAAAACACATGACGAATTTACAATTTGTCTTGAAAATAACAAAGAGATGTATTCTGAGAACAGCAATACTTAATGATCACTGGCCGCGTCATTGTGTTAAGATGAAATGTTTCATAGTGACCCAGTTAAAGAGGAGTTTAGTCAAAGTACTTATCAAATGCTTCCCTAGTAAAAGTCGTGGGGATCTAAAAGTAAGTCAATCCGCCTCGAAGCTCTGGTGGAGGAAGTCCACGAAATCCACCACAAAACCAAAAAGGACAAGAAATGGATTCCTCATATCTCGTAATTTGCCTTTTAACTGCATTTTTATCTTACACCACCACCATGCTAAACATTGTTACAATACACGCCATAAGAAAAACTTCGTCCTTGTCACAGAATTTCAAAACACTGCTACTTAGCCTGGCTGTTTCTGACCTTGGTGTTGGTTTACTAGCTCAACCAATGAGAGTGATTCTTCTCATCCCTACGGACTGGAACGGAAACAACGAAACTAGTACGACTTATAATGCCATCTATATAGCCTATCTTCTTCTGTCGAATTTGTTTATTTTCGCTACGCTGTTTCTCGTCACTGTTCTTTGTGCAGAGAGACTCATGGCCATTCATTTTTATCTCAGATATCAAGAACTTGTGACACACAAGCGAGTTGTTGCTGTAGTCGTCTCAATTTGGATACTAAGCGGCCTGTTTTCGTTGACAAGGCTGTGGATCCCAAAGAGTATTATGTACGTGGTATTTGGCGTTGCTCAATCTGGTTGTATCATAGCTGCCACTTTCTTCAGTATCAGAATATATATGTCCGTGCGACTCCACGTGAACGAAATGCAAGTGCTGCAGCTACAACATGCACCGCAGAACGCTCAAATGGTTAACGTTCGAAGGTTGCGAAAGTTTGCGATTATGTCAGTTTACGTTTGCTTCGTTTTGACGGTTTGCTATCTGCCAAACATTTGTATACTCTTTGCTATTGCCTTCACTTCTAGACCAAGCACTGGCATAAAGCATTTGCAGTCTTACACTCTGACACTGGAGTTCCTTAATTCGTCGCTTAATCCTGTGATCTACTGCTGGAAGATGAAACACATCCGACACACGATCATTGGCTTAATAAGAAATGCATTTACGAAGCAAAACTAAAGAGAGCTTCAAAACAATCCATCTGGAAATAATAAACCATATGAAAAAACGACAACAACAACAACAAGAAACAATAACAAATGTAGAATCGTGTTATGTTAACCTTACAATAAAAAAAGATATAATAGAATAGAATAAAGATGAACAATAGAGATTGTTGTAGTTCTCGTTAGAATCAATGATTTAAAAAACAATTTGTATCGGAGTAATAATTTATGCATTGTAAAGTTACACGAAAGTTGTCAAAACTCCGTTAAAAGTATGAAGCATTTTGGTTTAACTCCTCGCCCACCTCTACAGATAAATAGGAAAATAAGAAAAGGAAGTAAGCTAACCAAATTAAAGCAGAATCACGCGAACCCTCTTGTCAAAGCCAGCGAAACGATGAAAACACCCGATAAAAACATCCTCGAGATAACAAAAGCTTTAAAACTTTTTTTTTCTAGACTTAAAAACTAAGATAATAGTGATCAAACTAAATATAGTAACGATGTCACCATTTTGTTCCCCTCGATCACGACTATACGACTCAGTGATTAAGTTAAAGGTTTTTGTTTTTACTAGATAATTGTGCTATTGACTAGCTTTCCAGCTATTTGCGGGGAAAACTATTCAACTTTTGTATTTTTGTGCAAAGAATAAAGTTGTTGTTGTTGTTGTTGTTGTTGTTGTTGTTGTTGTTGTTGTTGTTGTTGTTGACTAAGCGCCTGCACGAGAAAAAATTCATTTTTTCGTGGCTCATAAAAATGTGTGCCGGGGAACTTTAGACTAAAAAAGACACATAAAAAAGAGAGAAAATGGGTCAGTTTCGAATTACCAAAAGTCATACTTGGATCGGAGGCTTCGGGGAATAAACCAAAGAAATGAATTATTAAACCCTAAACCTTAATGCAATTTCTTTTCTTTTATACCCCAAAGCCTCGCAGCCAAGTGTGGACTTTTATCATTGGAAACTACTGGCAAACCCTGTGTCGAACAAGCCTATTCACAGAATTCTTATTTTCTCTTCAGTTAGAGATCGTCCAGTGCCCGTATGAAAATAGAAACCGCGGCCGTTTATTAAACGCTAGCGCAAGGGTTGCTGTATTTAAAGGTCGGTTTATCCTGGATTATGAGCAAAAAATGCATACGAGTTCACGTGTCATGGAAACCAACCCGCCTGGAGCCAATCGTCCTTTGACCAACTTGGCAGAGTCCTGCTCCTATAGCGTGAAAGCGAATAACGCAACGCTTTTATTTTGAGTCATTTCCAGTTTCAAATCAAACACAATAGTGGTGGCTCATGTACATGAAACCTTCGATTTTCTTGAAATCGAATCAGTTACGATTTTTTGTTTCTGCTTTAAGGTTTCCAAAAAGACGGTGGTCTTGATTTGAATCTGCTATCAGGCGATCTTTTTTTCAAGGAAAGTCGGCGGACGCCTCCCAAACAAAAAGGGAAGAAGGACCGGCTCATCGTAGGCTAAACCAGAATTTGCCGAGATTAAGGTGGAGTAGAAAAGAGTCAATTAATGTAGTTTTACAATACCTTTAGGATGCGTTCGATAGATAAAAACAAAAACATTAAAACAACTACAAAATAACATTTTCGTTTGTTCAATTGTGACTTATCTGTGAGAGGTGGGGAAAATGGATGGATAAGTTTGCCTTTTATTAAGATGAAGTTTAATTTGTTAAACAAAAGTGTTTGGAAAGACCTATTTACAAATTTTAAGAAGGACATCTGCAGGAAGACATAAATGCGCATGCTCTGTCGACAATTTGCTCAGTCGGGTGAGATAATTGAAGGCAGTCCCGCCGACAAAACATGGTTGAAGTTTAATTTTGAAATAATTCCTCCTGCTTTCAAAATACCTTGAAGTATAGAATAACCTATGTTTCAAAGAGCCTTGAGACAATCGTTTTGCTACTTAGATACCATCATATCAAAGTGCTCAGTGATCTACAACAGCACTCTTAAAAACAGCTATGCTTAGGGAACCATTTGAGAAGTAAATAATAACAGCTGAAATAAAACGAGTTGGATATTTAAAATTTATTTGCTTCCAAAATTTTGTCATGTTAGATTGCAGTTCTGTAAAAAAAATATCACAGATTTCACAAATGTCAAGAGTAGAGAAAAAAGTTATTGTCAACCAACTAACAAGGAAGCCATTAGCTCTTCAACGCCAATAAATACCAGTCATTAACTTTACCATACAAGGTTGTTTAGTTGATTAACACCTAGGCCGCGGAAATAATCATAAAACAACTTAGGGTCTCATTTATATCACTATTTGCGGGTGCGATAAAGCGGTCCCACCGCAAAAAAGGTTTAAACAAGTTTCTCGATGGCATACACTAGAAAAGCAAAACCGCCGAAAAAATAATACAGGACTGAGTGTTTATTAAAGCTCGGTTAGCCCTAATGCAGCATGAGTTATCATGGAATTTAAAGCGAACAGCGCAACCCAAAGAAAACAAAAAGGGCCAATTAATTAAAACAGAGTTTAGCCAGTGTTCAAAAAAACCGCGTATTAAGTCATTTTCACTTTGCACAACGCTTTCATCTCAACACCATTTATCGTAACCAGTTTCATGATATCACATGGCGTACACTAGAAAAGCATTTAACTTCTTAAAATAATCCGCTAGGGAGGATATCTGGGGCTCCAAAGATTTGCTAAACCGCGCTCTAGGTTAAACTTCGTTTTAATGACCCAAACGTTTTGAGCCCGCTTTGATAATGACAGACCCAGTGCAAAACAACTTCTCTCCTCGACCTTACAAATTCCGAAAGACTGAAAGGATATTCCAACTGGATAATTTGGGGGTAAGGTGCAAGATTATTGAATACTAAGCATCCTAAAGAAATTACTGATACAACTAATTTTAGTTATACAGAATGTCATCTTGAGGGTTATTCTGATGAATTTAGTTTATTAAAATACAGCATATAATAATGAAGTAGTCAAGAAACCATTCAGCTTAAATTTTCCAAATCGAGCACAAAAATAATTTTTAAAAAAGAGATGTCAGATGCATAATTTGTTCGTCTTTTTTCATTACTTTAATTACTTACTATTACTTTTCTAATAACTTAGCAGTTTAGAAAAATACGTCTAACATTTTATCTAAAGAGTCTTAAAAACACGTAGGACATCTGTTTTGCCACACCAGCAATGCCCTATCATCAGTAATCATATGTCCAGAAAAGAGTTTCATCGTAGCTCAGTTAAAGATGCATTTTACTAAGTCAACCTGCTTTTCATCAAAGTCTTGAACTTACTAAACGTTTTGAAACTCTCTGAAGGTTAGTCAATCAGTGACGTGGGTTTGGTCAGATCATCCTGAAAAACACAACCGCTTGCAAGGTCCGACAAGAATTTGCTTGCTTCAAGCGCCGCAACTGTTCAAGAAAAGTCAACAAATGGATTACTCATATCTCACGCTTTGCGTATTCAACGCGTTCTTGTCCTACACCGCCACCATGCTGAACATTGTAGCAATCTACGCGATCAGAAAGACTTTGTCTTTGCCAAAAAATTTAAAAACATTGCTCCTGAGTCTGGCTGTTTCTGATCTGGGTGTTGTTTTACTAGTTCAGCCAATGTATATCGCAAATACCATCGACTCTCAACAAAATAATGCAACCAATGACACTGATAATGTCATTTATCTCGCGCTTCTTATTCCTGTCAATTTATTCATTTTTGCGTCATTGTTTAGTGTCACGGCTCTCTGTGCGGACAGATTCTTGGCAATTCACCTCCACCTCAGATACCAGGAACTTGTGACATACCAGCGCGTTGCTGCTGTAGTAGCCTCAATTTGGGTGTCAAGCGCACTTATTTCACTGATCAGGTTATTCATCCCAAAAAATATCATGTACGTGAGTTTCGTCATTATTATGTCTGCCTGTATTGTAACTGCAAATAAACAAATAAACAAATTTCAAGTCCAACTGGTAGCGCAGAATGACCAAGTCGAAAGAGTTCAAAGAAAAAAGAAATCTGCTGTGGCATCGCTTTACGTGTATCTGGTTTTCATAGTTTGCTATTTGCCTAATATTTGTAGATTATTTATTACTGCTGCCATTCCCGAACCAAGGATAGATGTAAAGCATCTGAGTTTCTATACTCTGACCCTAATGTTTCTTAATTCAACCCTCAACCCATTAATCTACTGCTGGAAGATGAAACGCATCCAGCACACTATTGTTGGCACACTTCGGAATCTTTTTTCAAGTCCCATCTAAAGAAAGCTCCACCATAGACTATGACGAACAGAGGACTAAGAAAGCCTTCTAAGGTCATCCTTATACGGTTCTTATACGGTCGGTAACTAAACGAAGCTATGCCACTGAAATGCTTTGCGAATTTCCTTCACGTTATTTCCATAACACAATCCACGCTGTCATCATTCAGTTTTTAAACGTCCTTATGCAAAGTTTTATTTGAAAAAAATTCATTACTTTTGTAAAATGAACGTTGAAAGGCGCAATTGACGCACTTCGCAGTGTCTTAATGATGCAAAAGTGAGCCAGCGTACGAGCTAAATGACTTAAGTTTCTTCACCACGTAACCTTTTCACTGTGTTAAAACCTAACAACGTTTAAATCGTCATGTTCCAAAGGTTTCACATGAACACTTTTCTCACTGAAAAGCGTAAGCGGAATTCATACCCCAATAATTCAAAGTAGACAGACTGCAAATCATCTTAGTTGCTAAAAAATATATATCTACGCGTCGCAACTGTTCATCAGTAGGATGCCTAAAATGCGTGCAATTCCACAATTAAAACATTTTGAGTGTACGAGATTATTCTTAATAAAAGGTTAGGGAAAGTATGATAAAAAAAACTTCCCTGAAACTGTTCACGTTTAGAACCCTTAAAATTTTATGGTTTAACCGTTTTCGTCGCAAAAAAACATACTTGTATGTATTGTCAAATCCGTTTTAGTATTTTGTATTGTTCTGCAGTCTTTTTAATCGTTATTTTGATTTCAGTAAGCAACATTTCAACAAGGATAATAATGCAAAAGAAAAAGCCTCAGCCGTAGATACAAAACCACCCTTTACCTCCGTCTAAAGACATGCCGACATTCCCTAGAAACGAGAACATCAAACTTCAACTAGCCTGCGAGCTAGCTCTCTATTTTGGGCGAGTCGCCAAAAGTCAGGCAAGAACAGCACGCGTCAGGAGACGCTAGTGCGGGGGGCGGGGTAAGAGGCGCGTTCTCTCGCGACTAGCTTTGCTCGAAATTAATGAAGAGCTTTCTAGCATGCTGAACTTTAACAGCTGTCGTGCGCACTATTCATTTTTATGACAATTTCCATCGATGGTGGAACCTTAACGCTTTTCGCGGTTTACAAGCTTTATTGGTTACTGATACTATATTTTCACCTCCATTCTGACTACAAAGGTCTGAAATAGCTTCAAACAGGAGCCTGAAGCAAATAGTGAATTCGTGAAAATAACGCGTTCTCACCTAAATATGAATTTTTGGTGCTAGTTTTCCTACTGACCAGCACCCTTCCAAAGCTCTTATTTCACTGGTCCCTATAACCTGCACTACCTATTGTTTTCAGGGATAGGAGCATTGTTATGTCATCATCGCTATTGTTTTCTTGTTCTCAGTTTCAGAGCAGAATTAGAATTGGGTAGCAAATGAATTTCACCTCAACACCAACAACAACAATAACAACAAAAGAAATAGTTCTTAAGTCCGCTTGCGTTTAACGGTTGCGTGCAAAGCCAACGAAAAATTGTCCGCTAATAGGTTATGTCGTTGATATTACAAATTGCAAATACAACACAAGTTAATGAAAGAGTTAGGGAACCATATGATATGTAAATTAAACAGCTGAAATTTTCCGAGCTGGTTATTTAAAACCTACTGTTAACTAAATATGATTTTTAGGGCGTGTGGAAAATATAAAAAATTTCACCACCTTTAAAGAGACGAAACACTTTGTAACTCTTTCAATAGCGACTGTGAAGCCCTTATGTTAACGCCAAAAACTAGAAGTCTTTAATTTTGAAACATTAGGGCATTAAGTCTCAACATATTCATCAAAATTAAATGGGCTAACAGACTAACGAGGAACAGTTTTTTTCTAATATTTCAATCGACCACTTTTAGTCCCATGCAACTAATAAGCAACATGTCATTTTGCAGTAAATTTTAATGAACGTGACGTTCTTTTAAAATACAGCATTTGAAACATACACAAGGGTGAAGGATAGTTTTGTCCTTTTTCGCATTTGGCTCGTTCGGATGCAATATAGCCATATAGTGGCCCCAATAAAGACAAAAAAACTTTAAATATGACTTAACTGCCAAAGGCGGGAAAAATGGTGGGGCAAGTTTCCTGTGTTTCAGTTGAAGTTACTTTAAACAGAACTTCCTGTTTTTAAATTGGCATGAAGCTAACAAAAACACATGACGATTTTACAATTTGTCTTGAAAATAACCAAGAGATCTATTCTCACACTTAGACCAGCAATACTTAATGATTAGTCGCCGCGTCATTGTGTTAAGATGAAATGTTTCATGGTGGCCCAGTTAAAGAGCAATTTAGTCAAAGTAATTATCATAGGCTACCTTATTGAAAGTCGTGGCGTTCTAAAAATAAGTCAATCCGCTACGAAGCTCTGGTAGAAGAAGTCCAAGAAACTGATTCTACTGAATTCATAAAATATCAAACTCTTGTATCATCTGATAGGAATTTAAGGTGGCTGAACACAGTTTTACCAGCGATCAGCGGTAACTCGCGTGCCGGCGTGTGTTTTAAATTAGACAAACAAACATGGCGGCCAAAAAACCATGGTACACAGAAGAGGATTTCTCAAAATCTACTATTGAAATTCTGTGATATTTGGCAGAATTTTTACTTTTATCGTATTTTAAATACTGAGAACTTTAAAATGGAAGTTGAACATACGAATCTTGTGACACATTTTGTAATTACAGTACAATTATATTATTGATTATCTAAATACCCGTCTGTTAAAATTTGGTCATATAAGTTTCAAATGATAATGATTAATTATAGTAAGCTGTGTGCAAGTTAATAGGAAAATTTATGTAAACTGAGCGAAAGTGAAATTTTAAGGTTGTATTCAATCGTTCATGTTGCCATGGAAACTACGAAAACCTCAAATTTCACCTGTCAATCAAAATCTTTCATCAGTATATGTTTCACCTGCCAAGTTTCAGCTTGTGAGCTGCAACCTTTCTCTGGCCATGGTTTGGCAAATGACATACACTCACAAACTGACAAAACTGTGTTCAGGCACCATAACTGGCTACAGCACAAATCCAAAAAGGACAACAAATGGATTCCTCGTATCTCGTAGTTTGTCTTTTAAATGCATTTTTATCCTACACTGCCACCATGCTAAACATTGTTACAATCCACGCCATAAGAAAAACGCCGTCCTTGTCAACGAATTTAAAAACATTGCTCCTTAGTCTGGCTGTTTCTGATCTTGGTGTTGGTTTAGTGGTGCAACCTTTGTATGTGGCAAATCTTATTATGGCGTCGAAGCTAAACAATGAAACTAGCAAAACGTATAATGCCATCCATATCGTGTACCTTATCCTGGTGAATTTATTTATTTTCGCTACGCTGTTTCTCGTCATTGTTCTTTGTGCAGAGAGATTTATAGCCATTCATTATTGCTTTAGATATCAAGAACTTGTGACACACAAGCGAGTCGTTGCTGTTGTCGTCTCAATTTGGGTATTAAGCGGACTGTTTTCGTTGACGAGGCTGTGGATCCCAAAGAGTATTATGTACGTGGTTTTTGGCATTACACAACTTGCATGTATTTTAGCTGCCACTTTCTTCAGTATCAGAATTTACTCGTCCGTGCGACTTCACGTGAACCAAATACAAGTCCTGCAGCTACAATATGCACCACAGAACGCTCAAATGGTTAACGTTCGAAGGATTCAAAAGTTTGCGATTATGTCAGTTTACGTTTGCCTCGTCTTAATGGTTTGCTATCTGCCAAACATTTGTACACTCTTTGCTATTGCCTTCACTTCTAGACCAAGCACTGGCATAAAGCATTTACCGTTTTACACTCTGACACTGGAGTTCCTTAATTCGTCGCTTAATCCTGTGATCTACTGCTGGAAGATGAAACACATCCGACACACGATCATTGGCTTAATACGAAATGCATTTGCGAAGCAAAACTAAAGAGAGCTTCAAGACAATCCATCTGGAAATAATAAACGATGTGTAAAAACGACAACAACAACAATAAGAAACAATAACAAATGTAAAATCGTGTTTTGTTGAACTTACATTAAAAAAAGATACAATAGAATAACAATAAAAATGAACAATAGAGATTGTTGTAGTTCTCGTTAGAATCAATGTCTAAAACAAAAGCCCTCAATTTGTCTGGGAGTAATAATTTATGCATTGTAAAGTTACACGAAAGTTGTCAAAACTCCGTTAAAAGTATGAAGCATTGTGCTTTACCTCCTTACCCACCCCTACAGATAAATAGGAAAATAAGAAAAGGAAGTAAGCTGACGAAATTAAAGCAGAATCACACGCACGATCTTATTAAAGCCAGCGAGAAGATTAAAATACCCGATGAAAAAATCCTCGAGATAATGAAAGCTTTAAAACTTATTTTTTAGACTTGTAAACCAAGATGATAGTGATCAAACTAAATATAGTAACGATTGCACCAATTTGTTTCCCTCGATCACGACCATACGACTCAGTGACTAAGCGTCTTCACGAGCAAAACTTCCTTCTTTTTTCGTGGCTCCTAAAAATGGGTGACGGGGAACTTTAGACTCAAAAACACAAACAAGAGAGAGAAAATGGGTCAGTTTTGAATTATTAAAATTCATTCTTGGCTCCGGGGCAGAAGGCAATAAAACAGATACACGAAAAGGTACACGAAACCTTTGATTTCACCGAAATCGAATCAGTTATGATTTTATGTTTCTACTTAAAGGCTTCCAAAAAGACGGTGGTCTCGATTCTAACAAGACAGAATCTGCTATCCGGCGATCTTTTTTGGGAGAAAGTCGGCGGACGCCTCCCAAACAAAAAGGGAAGAAGGACCGGCTGATCGCAGGCTCAACCAGAATTTGCCAAGATTAAGGTGGAGCAGAAGACAGTCAATGTAGTTTTACAAGACCTCTAGGAAGCGTTCGATAGATAAAAACAAAAACATTAAAACAACTACAAAAAAAACATTTTTTTTGTTTAATTATTACTTAACTGTTAGAGGTGGGAAAATTGTTGGACAAGTTTGCCTGTTATGAAGATGAAGTTTAATTTGTTGAACAAAACTTCCTCTTTCCTAATTGTTTTGAAGTTTAGGAAGACCTATATACAAATTGTAAAAATTGTTTGTAAAACAAGAAGGACATCTGCAAGAAGACAGCAATGCGCATGCTCTGTCGACAATTTGCTCGGTCGGGTGAAACAAACGAGAGCGTAAGCAACAACGACGGCGACGGCAACAAGAACGACAAGACACCAATGGGTTTAGATTGGCATAACAACAACTTTGCACGTAGATCACGCCCGCCCCATAAAATGTCATGGTAGATGAAGCTAATAAATACAGTTAGCGTTTGAGAAAACCAAACATCTTCCACTTAACAGTTTTCAATTTTATTTGACTATCAGCATCACAAGCTTTGTGCACTTTTTAAACCATTTCTTAGCGAGATTATTTTCCTAGCTAAATGCCAATTCATTAACTATAAAACAGTCCGTATTACTGTACTATTTACGTTACAACCGTAACGTAGATGAGTATTGAAAGTTTCTTCTTTATTGAACTTCATGATAATCAAAACATTCCTTACAGCAAAACAACTTTGGCTAGATTTCTTTACTCTCGCTTCATTCAAACCACATCTTTTACGACGTACCGAAGTGTAAACTCAAACGCCTTCCCACGTTATATCCAATAAGGCAATATAATGTACGCCTTCAATTATCACGTGTCTAATTAATTTTTCTAGAATTAGAATACAGTATTGCATGTGTTTGGTCAGCGGTACTACCAGAGAATACTATGCGACAGTCTATGTCCCACTTGCCAGCAAGAGGAGCGAGATGTCTGGGGACCATCTGGTTTAACTCCCAAAAGAGGCTTAAAAGCATTCTTGACATAAGACGTCAGAAAAATGGGAGAACTCTAAAGAATTTAACTGACTTTCATCTCTCACAGAAATCATTAAAGCTAATTTTTGCAAATCTTGAGGCCCTCAAATTCTAAGTCAGAAACAACAATAGATTCAACACCTCTCAGTTGGAAGCTCTATAATGACTTTTGTTACAAGATACGCATTACCAATTACAATAATTATTACTGTTACAAAATTTAATTTCGGCTTTAGAAAAATACATGAATTCACCTAGTTTACTGTGAACCTTGTCGGGTAATTTAAAATAAAGAATGCTTATGTGCCAGGAAACTCGATAACAGCGCCAGAATCAGCCATAGCTTAGCCATCATTGTCACTTTTGCTATGTGAGCACATTACATTGGTTGACATTATTCCCTTTTCATCTCCCACTGTTTTTTCAAGTTTTGTTTTAGCTTATCTAACTGATTAAGCCAACTCTCCTTGTCAGACGAAGTAGGAAAATAGCTTATCATAAGCTGCAAATTCCTCCCATTGTATTGGTTTTGTCACCATGGGTACCGAGCTTTCTATCTGTTGCATGTTGTTTCCACCTTTATTGCCTGAGTTATTCCTGTCGCGGAGTACTGGTAACCACTCCGCGAGGAGAACGCGTGACTTGTAAGCAAGCCAAAAAGGTCGCCATATTAGAGTATTTTGTAATGAGAAAAAGTTAAAATTTCCATTTCGCGACAAATCCGTTATTTCTCGTTATTGGCCACACTTTTTGGTTTTTGGAGGAAATTAAACCCGCGGGTCTTTAAGACAGTAATTTGAATACACTCAATAACCAACCAACCAGATCAACTCGACATTTCTTTCCATTTTGTCCCGTAGGACAAAACCTTTCTGGTGGATTAACCACCTACTGATAACAGACCATAGAGCTTATTAGGAAATTAACACAAAAGCTATGGTTTTGCAATTCAACATCTTCTTAACTACACTTTTTTTTTTTTTCAAAAAAGTCGATTAACATCGAATTTTGAAAAAGGATGTTTTAAGTCAAGCTTTAAATGGAAACCAACATCCTTGTACGAAAACAACGAAGGGAGGAAGTGTATCGTCGTTTAAAAAACATAGCTATCTCTAATTAAATTTTATAGTAACATGTCTGGCATCTTATGGCAATACATTAGAAAAGGCCAGCTTTCTTTCTAAGATTCGTCTTCTTCCACATTGCCAGAGCATCAAAAGCGGCTCTGGTCATGTTAAACGCTTTCTGCAAAAGGAACAAACCAAAAAAACTTTTAATTCATAAGCCTGAGAAGACAGCCGACACTGGTTTCCCCTGAGGAGCGAGCGCAGAAATCCCCAACTGATGACATGTCACTGCCACGATCTGGGTAGTACCTCAGTTCTGATTAGTCGGGCCAAGAGGGCGATTTGCTTCAACCAATCAGAAGCACTAGCTAAATCGCCATCAGTATGGAATTTCTGCGCTCTTTCCTTAGTCGACTATACGCGGGGAAACCAGCAGTAGACTACGAGTAGTCCCCATTTTTCCTCAGGGATAGGAGTAGAGCGAAGAAACGCGAGCGCGCGTGAAAATCAACCCACGCGAGAAATGAGGCGAAAAGCGAAAGGCGAAAGGCGAAAGGCGAAATGGGGACCACTCGCAGTCTAAACCAGTAGTGGTGTCGGAAATTTTTTCAGGCATTTTATTGAATAATTCATAAACCCCTTTTAAAAGGCTGTTTATTTGCCAGCAGTCAGGTTGCACAGACTGAAGATGCAGTTCAAAGAGAAATGCAGTTCTTACCTCGAAGTCAGCATCGCTAAGGTATGTTTCAAGTCTCGAGGGATCCACTCCTTCAGGTGGTGGTTTTTGCTTGAGTTCCTCCAGGCTGTACTCCTTTCTACATGTCAAAAAAAGAAGAGTTAATGTAAAGAGTAAATGTTAAAACAGTCCACCAAGAAAATTAGAAATTTTTCTCTCTG